ATCTCATATGGGCGCCGGTTCGAGTCCCGGCTGCTCCACTTCCAATCCAGCTCTCTGCTATGGCCTGGGAAAGCAGCAGAAACATGGCCCAAGTGCTTGAGAACCTGCACCCACATGGGAGACCCAGAAGAAGCTCCAGGCTCCTGGCTTCAGATTGGCGTAGCTCAGGCCGTTGTGGCCATTTGGGGAGTGAACCAGTGGATGGAAGACCTTTCTCTCTGTCTCTCCCTCTCACTGTGTGTAACTCTACCTCTCAAATAAATAAATAAATACATAAAATCTTAAAAAAGAAAGAAAAACATGAAGCCTGTGGCAGATCAGATCAGGAAAAGTGTTAGCTGGGAGGCAAAGTTTCCAATCCCGTAAGGAAATGGTAGAAATCTGTATTGGTTCAGTTTACTGAACACTCTGAATACCTCAGCTTTTCCACATTTGCCACCCAGATATTCCAAGCCCTACCCCTCTTTCTCAAATTGACGCTCTTTCTTCCTGTCTCACATTTGCAATCTTTTCCTGAAAAGTAGAAAGGAAACAGAGGGAATTGAATTTTATTGACTGCCTCAACTGTGCAAAACAATGATTGAAAACTGGGTTTTGGAGGATGGCGTTTGGCTGAGTGGTTAAGATGTGCTTGGGACGCTGGCATCCCATATCAGAGTGCCTGCACTCTGTACTTCAATCCAGCTTCCCGCTAATGCACACCCTGGAAGCAGCAGGTGATGGCTCAAGTGCTTGGGTCCCTGTCATCCATGTGGGGGACCCGAACTGAGTTTCTGGCTCCTGGTCTGGTCCTTTGGGAATGAAGTAGCAGATGGAAGATCTCTGTCTGTCTGTCTGCCTCAGTCTCTCTGCTTTTCACATACATAAGTAAATAAATGAACAAGTGGAGGCTCTGGGGACAGAGAGAGTATGGTCTGAATTCCAGCTCCATGGCTTCCTAGGTCAGGCTTCGGTAAGTAACAACTTCAGTTTCCTCTTCTACAAAATAGGGGATGACAATGCCAACTTCAAAGCTTTCTGAATACGAAATAAAACGTCTAAATGCCTGGAACAGCCTGAGAGGGAAGTCGGCAGATGGCAGCTAATATTATCCATTCTGTTCTCATTTCTTGGTGACAGGTGCTTTACATACTTATCATCCCAATGAAATGGGCACGATAATTCTCAGTTTATAGACAACGACATTGAAGTTACAGATTGTGTGAGATGAAACAGATATTAGACTAAGCTGTTCTTCAGACGAAGACATTTCTGATGAAGTATTTACATCATGCACCACAATCTCAAAGTGAAGCAATATGGAGTGAATCTGAAGCCATAGCTGTTTGATTTGGAATTTTTTTGAGTCCATCCTACTTGGTATTTATGAGTTGTCATTCCTGATGGGTTATAATGGTCGTGGTAATGCTACCTGTCGCTCCCCGTCTTCGTGGAGGAACGATACAGGACCCTGCGCTGTTCTTTTGTCTGTTCGGCCCTCCCCGGGTTTGCTGCTGGTTCTTCCCGGGTTGGCTACCGTCCCTTCCACCTCCGTGGAAGGGCGGTTCCCCCTGCCACATTCCCCACTTCTGCGGGGGAGCGGCACACCGCTGGCCGGCTCTCTCGGGGGCTGCACAGGTGTTCCTTCAGATGTTCCCCTTAGATGTTCCTGGTGCATGCCGTCTCTCTCCTCCTTTATAGTCCTCTCCACCAATCCGTGCTCTGCTACCCACACGCCGAGTACGCTGCTCTCCTCCAATCAGGAGCAGGTCCTACAGTTTATTGGTTGAACTGGAGGCAGCTGAGTAGAAGCTGTTTCCCTTCTCAGCGCCATATTGTGGGAGAGCAGATGCATAGAATAAGTCTTAATTCCAGTAACTCAGTCCAGTCCGGGTTGCTCCCCACACTACCCACGATAACTTTTTTTTAAATCTATTTACCTATTTTCTTTTTATTTGAAAAGGAGGGAAAGAGACACAGAAATCTTCCATCTGCTGGCTCACTTCCCAAATGCCTGCATTAGTCAGGATGAAGACAAGTCTCCCACATGGCTGGCAGGAACCATCTGCCAGCTCCCAGGAAGCTGGTTTGGGAGCAGAGGATGCTGGACCCAAACCAGGTACTCCAACATGGCATGTGGGCATCGCAAGAGGTTAACCCAAATGCTGTGCTAAGCACCCAGCCCTGCACTACTTTTTTCTTAATATGATTTATTTATTTTACAGGTAGAGTTATAGACAGTGAGAGAGAGAGACAGAGAGAAAGGTCTTCCTTCTGTTGGTTCATTCCCCTCATGGCCGCTATGGCTGGCACTGCACCGATCCAAAGCCAGGAGCCAGGTGTTTCTTTGTGGTCTCCCATGCGGGTGCAGGAGCCCAAGCACTTTAGACCACCTTCTACTGCCTTCCTGGGCCACAGCAGAAAGCTGGACTGGAAGAGGAGCAACCAGGACTAGAACCTGGCACCCATATGGGATGCTGGGGCTGCAGGTGGAGGATTAACCAAGTGAGCCACGGCGCCGGCCCGGCACTAACTTCTAAGAATCAGCTTTTACCACCGACCTGGGTTATCTGCATGACTCTTCCAGATAAGGAAGACAGTCACAAATGCTGGGGAAGGAGGTAGTCCTCCCGCTGGCATTTCCCTTCCAGGTAACACAGACACTCTTTCAGTGGGCAGTCCTTCCATCTAACTCCGTTATATAACTCAGACAACTTGTCAGCTTTCTGTAGTTGGCCTAATAAATCAACTAGGTAAGGTTGCATTATTTTAAATACTGGATGTTCTGCGTAACTCCTATCTTAAAATTTATAATCTAGGGGCCAGTGCTGTGGCGTAGCAGGTAAAGCTCTGCCTGCAGTGCCGGAATCTATATGGGTACCAGTTTGAGTCCCAGCTGCTCCACTTCTGATCCAGCTCTCTGCTATGGCCTGGGAAAGCAACAGAAAGATGGCCCAAGTCCTTGAGCCCCTGCACTCATGCGGGAGACTGGGAAGAAACACCTGGCTCCTGGGTCCTGGCTTTAGATCAGCCCAGCTCCAGCCTTTGCAGTTGTTTGGGGAGAGAACCAGCAGATGGAAGACTCTCTCACTCTCTCTCTCTCTTTCTCTCCCTCTCTCTCCCTACCTCTCTGTAACTCTGCCTTTCAAATACATAAGAAATCTTCTAAAAAATTTAGTCTGCTGATGAGTCAACATCAAGGTGTCAAAACAGAGACCAACATAAGTGAACAGTACTATAATTAGACTGCAATATGCAATGGTTGAGTTGTAAATAAAATTCACAGCTTTCCTGGCATAATGATTTCTCATCATTCTGTGTTGTCCTTGCATCCATTGAGAATATAAGTTTAACCGTCTTATACCAGGAGCAGGGCTCAGTCAGACTTGAGAGTTTCTAGTTCCCCACTTTCCCCCAGTTCCTCCATGTGGTCCATCCTGGGATATGCCTCCTACGACTGCCTCCTGGTGACACCTCCCAAGGGGACAGGTGGATACCATTTACTTGACTTGTCTCCAACATGGACTGCATAGAGAACCCCTCAGGGACCACCTCCAAGAGACAAGGTGACTGGAACTCCTGTCTACCTTCTGTACATGCACCAGTTAGGGCTCCCCACTGGAAACTGGTTAGGACCCAGTCAGACCCCAGTAAAGGCCTTAGCCCCACAGGACTCTCCCCAGCCTTGTTTGCTGGTTGGGATCCCTGTCACCTTCAAACTGTCCACCCACCTCAAGAGAGCCAAGACCAAACTGGAGAGAAACCAAAACGATTAACACACAGCCCGCAATCAAAGGGAACATCATTATCGGAAGAGAGGAAAGGTACAAGGGAAGCAATTTTTCCTTGTTCTAAGTTAGAGAACTCGCCACGGGTACTTTACCTAAGGTACAGTGAAAGGCGCCTTCAGACTCATTCGCACAGCAGACACAGGAATGCCATTCCTTCGGTGTTTTCTTGCCATTTTGGGCAAAAGCTGAGGGCACAGCATAGGGGGAAGTTGTGCTTAGCTCTCAAAAACGTAGCACGTGGGCAATCGGAATATGTTCATAGCAGGACATTTTCCAAACAGTATTCCTAACACAGGGGACAACTGATTCGAAGCTAGTTGGTGACTTCCACACTACAGTGAAATGGAGTTCCTGCAAGAGCCACCTGTCCCAAATCCCACCTCAGTCTATGGTTTCTTTTTTTAAATTTTTATTATTTTTAAATACTTATTTATTTGAAAGTCAGGAAAGCCAGAAGCAGAACCAGAGAGAGAGAGAGAAAGATCTTTCACCAGCTGGTTCACTCCCCAAATAGCGTCAACCCCCAGGAAGGCTGGAACCAGGAGCTTCCTCCGGGTCTCCCACGCGGGTGCAGGGGCCCAAGGACTTGGGCCATCTTCCACTGCTTTCCTAGGCCACAGCAGAGAGCTGGACCGGAAGTGGAGCAGCTGGGACTTGAACCGGCGCCCATATGGGATGCCGGCACTGCAGGCAGCTGTTTAACCCACGGGGCGGCCCCAGATAGGGCTTATCAAGACTCCGACCTCCGGGAAGGTCCAGTCCACCTGCAGAAGTCGGTGGGCTGGCGGACCCAGGGAGTAGCCTCCGCTGTTGCAGTCCAGGCATGGCTAACCCACAGCCTCGGGCTCTGAGACACGGGTGCAAAGCAGAACCCCTCACGCAGCGGCCACACTTGCAGCCAAACCCGAGGAGGCAAAGCATTTTAAGTCACTCTGGCGTCCCACCTAGCACAGGGACCCCGGGGTCCGGCCCAGGGGGCGCGGTGAGGTGCCTCCCTTTGGGAAGTTCCCTTTAAGTATCCCAAAGCCTTGGAAAACTCGTCCTCCTCCGTACCGGACAGATGAGTTAATATCGCTGCAGGGAACAGGGGGCCTGCCCAGTACCACACAGCAGCAGTTCTCAGGGCCTGGGGCGACGAGGCCCCACGGCCGCGCGGGCGTGAGAGCCTGGCCGAGGGGGCGTGGCCTGGGCGGGGCGCCGTGCGCGTTCGCGGGCGCGCAGCCGAGCGGCGCCGGGCTGGGGCGGAGGGGAGCGGCGGGCCCGCGCCGTAAACAGACAACATGGCGGCTGCAGTGGCGGCGGCCCCGGGGGCCCTGGGCGCTCTGCAGGCCGGCCGCAGCCGTTGGGTGGCCGCTGGCTGCGCGCAGCTGGGCCCTGGGCTGCGGCTGCCCGGCTCCTGGGCGGGCCGGCTCGCGGGGCCGGCTCGCGGGGCACTGGGCTGGGCGCCTGCGGCCAGGGGTTCCGCCCCGAGGAGGGGCTACAACTCTGAGGCGAAAACGGAGGAAGAGCTGCGGGTGCGGCACCTGGAGGAGGAGAATCGAGGTGAGGGGCGCGGGCGGCGTGGAGCCGGGGGCGGGGGCGGCTCCGCTCGGCCTCCGCACCCGCCGCAAGGTCGGGCCCCTCACCGCGATTCTCCTCCTCCAGGTGCTCACCGGGATTTCTACCTCCACCTCCACCCTGCCCGCTGCGGGCGTTTGGTTTTGCAGCTAGTCGGTGCAGGTAATGCCAGACCGCGTACTCGCGAGCGGCTTCCCTGACACTTGGCCGGTTCAGCGCGGCCGACTCGAGAGATGCAGCGTGCGCTCTCCGCTCCAGACGGGCCAAGGTCACTGCACTGGCAGGGGCGGGCCGCGCTGGCTTGCAGGTTTTGTGCTTGGCCGTGTAGCGGCTTCGTGTCAGGTCAGATGTTTGGAGGTAGAGTTGTGGAAGCTGCAGTGAGAACGCGCGTCGTGGTGCCGAAAGATCTCGGATGTGACGCTGGCCTCTTGTCCGTTTCATCCGACAAAGTTAGTCCTGGGGGAACTGTGCCACTGCAGGCGAACGGTTCTGAGCACTTAGGGGCTTGCTGTACTCCGAGGACCAGTTTGTGGGTGATGTTGAAAAGGGGCCACGAGGCTGGAAGGGACGGGTACTTAGCAATCCGATAAAGAGGGTAAGATTCGGAGGGAGTCCTTGGGTCGGTCCCTTTCGCTGGCAGCGTTGGGGTCCCCGTGGGCGGAATGGCAGCTCGCCCGGTGTATGACAGAGGACCAGGTGTTCGGTGTGGACATGCATACATCGAGCACCTTTGTCACTAAAGCAGAAGTGAGAAGTGAGTGAGTCACGATGGCGTCTTTTAGCGTAGTGAAGAGCCAGGGGATTAATGGGCTGTGCAAACTTTAAAGGCTTGGCGAGAGCAAAGGGCTGCGAAGATGCGTCTACCAGGGGGAAGGGCAAGGCATACCCCAGAAAGCCGTGGATGATGCTGTCAGGGAGAATCCCTGGGCAGCCTCCCTGTGCCTCCACCCGAGTCGTGTAAAATAGGAAAGATAACGCCAACTTGATAGGGTTACTAGGAAGAAGAGATGCGATCCATACGCACTGCCACCCAGTATCCATCCCGCTGGAGGAGGCTGAGTTATTTCATCCCTTACTTGTTTGTTATTTCAGGTGGACAGGAGCTTGGTCCGAGGCTAGGGGACGTGAGCCTGTGGGGTGCATTTGGGAAGTACCGTGAGGCAGAGGTGGCTGTCCTGAGGCGGGTCAGGCAGGATAGTGAAAGCCAGCCGGGAGCTAGGCTGCCGCTGGAGTGGTTAGGGCTGTGGATGCCACATCTCGCGGAAGCTTGGTTGTGCTGGGTTTTCAGTTACATTAGTATGTAACTGAAATAATATAATAGTATGCAACGGTATGTTGGATGCAAAGGAATTGCAAGTACAGCTAGTAGTAGGCACTGTATTTTGGGGTTTTGTTATTTTTTCTTCTTTTGGTTTTAAATGAATGCAGATCGAAAGTAAACTTACACAAAATGTCCAAGAAAGTCTTTAAGTTAGGATCTGAATGAGCTGAAAGAGGAGGTACCAGAGCATAAAAGGTGATTTAGTGAATCCTGATGTTTTCAGGTTATCTAAGATGTAGGAGTCAGTGATTTAGGCCATCGTGGTGTCTTAGAAAAAGTGGCCCAGGCTTTTTTCAGAGTTGGCTATCGATACCTGTGCTTCGCTTTACTGTGGAACCAGCAATAAGCAGTGTGAAGTGTACCAGGAGGTCAAGGATACTACTGGTGTAGCAATCTTGTCTTACAGGAGACGGGTCCGGAATTGACATTTTCAGCCGCCGGGAGGGACAGAGGAGCCTCAGACTGGGTTTACAGCCAGTGCACAGGTTTTATGCTGCTTTTGTTAAATTTATTCCTAAATATTTTGTTCTTTTTGGATACTTCTTTTAAAGGCAGAATGACAGAGAAAAAGAGAGAGAGAGAGAAACAGAGAGAGATCTTCCATCTGCTGGATTACTTCCCAAATAGTTGTAATGACTGTGGTGGCGTTAGGCTGAAGCCAGGATCCTGGAACTCAATCCTGGTCTCCCATGTGGGTGGCAGGAGCCCAAGCTTGGGCCATCTTCTTCTGCTTTCCCAGGCCATTAGCAGAGAGCTGCATTGGAAGTGGAGTAGCCAGGACTGCAACCAGCGCCCCTGTATGGGATTCCAGTGTTGCAGGTGGGGGCTTAAGCTCCTGCACCACAGTGCCAGCCCTGATATTAATAGTGTTGAGTGGACTTGTTAATGTTTTCTACATATACAAGGACATGTAGCTTGTAAATAATAATAATTTTATTTCGTTCTTTTCAATCTGAATGTCTTTTTTCTTTCTTTCTTGTTTTCTTTCTACTAGGGCTTTCTGTAACAGATTTGAATAAAGGTAATGAGAGTGGGGAGGTGTTGTGACTCAGCAGTTTAAGTTTCTGCTTGGGATAACTGTGCCCCATTTAAGGTGCCCGGGATTGAGTCCTGTCTCCATTTCTGATCCAGCCTCCCACTAATGTGCCTGAGAGGCAAGGGTCACTCAAGTACCTGAGGCCAAGACGTTCACTGGCTGGAGTTGCTGGCTTCTGGCTTTGGCCTGACCCAGCCTCAGCTTCTGTGGGCATTTGGGAAGTGAACCAGCAGATGGAAGACCTCCCTCTCTCTGTTGCTCTGCCTTCCAAATAAATAAACATTGAAAGTAAGTAGGGAGAGCCGGTATTGTTGTCTTGCTTCTGATCTTGCGGTGGGGTGGAGAGAGGTGAAGAGAATTAGGACTTTCATCATCAATCATTAGTGAGGGATTTTTTTTTTGTAGATGCCCTTTATCAATTGGAGAAGGTCCTTTCTTTTTGTAGTTTGTAGAGTGTTTCTTTGTTGAATTTTGTCAAATGCTTTTCCTGAGTTTGTTGAGATGGTCATATGATTTTTCTTATTTAGTCTGCTGATGTGATGGAGTATGTTAAATGATTTTCAAATATTGACTCAGTTTTGCATACTTAGAGTAACCGCACATGGCTGTGGTATATGATTGTTTTTATATATGATTGGGTTTGATTTGCTAATTTTATGTTGAAAATTTTTGCATCCATGTTTTTGAGAGATAATGGTCTTTGGTTTTTCATTCTTGTAATATCTTTGGTTTTGGCATGAGGATAATGCCAACCTCATGGAAGTGTTCTTTCTGCTTCTGTTTTTTGGAAGACATTTAAGAGGAATGGGATAATTTCTTTGATATTTTGGTAGAACCTATCTGTGAAATCATCTGTTTCTGAAGCCATTTGTTTGGGAAGCTTATTAATTCCCAAGTTATTTTTTATTAGAGAGAGAGAGAGAGAGAGAGAGAGATCTTTCATATGTTGGTTCAGCTAATTCAAGGCCTACAGCTCCTGGGCTGGATCAGGCTGAATTCAGGAGTCAGGAACTCATTCTGGGTCTCCCCCAAGTGCTTGAGCCATCACTTGCTGTCTTCTGGGATCTCCATTAGCAGGAAGCTGGAATCCAAAGCAGACCCCAGACTCAAAATCTGGGCACTCTGATAAGGAATGCAGGGGTCTTAACCACTGTGCCGAATGCTTACCCCACTTACTAATTATTGATTCAACTTCTTTAACAGATAACAGGCCTGTGCATTCTGTTTCTCCTTGTATGAGTTGTGGTACATCAGATCTTTCAAAGAATTGGTCCATTTCATCTAAATGATCATTTGTGGCCATTGAATTGTTTGTATTTCTTTATTATGCTTATCGTATTCGTGGGATTCAGGAGTGATGACCAAACCCTTTTCATTTTTGATATTAGTGATTGCAGCAAGTCTGGCTAGAGGCTTATCAACTTGCTGAAGTTTTTAAAGAACGTTTTGGTTTTGTTGATTTTATCATTAATTTCTTGTTTTCAACTTTATTGATTTCTGCTAATTTTTATTTCTTTTTGTCCTGCTTACTGAATTCAGTTTTTTTAGCTTTTTATTGTGGAAGGTTAGATCAATGATTTTTGATCTTCCTAATACATGCATCCAGTAGTATAATTTTTCTTTAAGCAGTGCTTTTTGCCACATCCCACAAGTTTTTAGATTACATTTTAATTTTCAATTAGTTACAAATATTTAAAAATTTCTCCTAAGACTAATTTCATCACTTATGCATTATTTATAAGGGCCTTTAAAATTTCCAAGTATTTTGGTATTTCCAGCCAACTATTAAAGGTTTGTAGCTTATTTTGATGGTGGTCTGAGAGCACACTTTGTATGATTTCTTTTCTTTTAAATAGTTTGGGTGTGTTTTGGTCTAGAATGTGATCTCTGGGAATGCTCGCTGTGAGCTACTGAAGAAATGTGTTCTGCAACTGTTGAATAAAGTATTCTGTGTTCAGTTTGCTCCACTATTCAGTTAGATCTAGCTGATGGTTGGAAGTGTTTCAACTTTACCCTTACTGATTTTCTGCCTGCTGAATCTATTAATTAATAATAGAAGTACATTGAGACCGGCGCCGTGGCTCACTAGGCTAATCCTCTGCCTGCAGCGCCGGCACCCCGGGTTCTAGCCCTGGTTGGGGCGCCGGATTCTGTCCTGGTTGCTCCTCTTCCAGTCCAACTCTCTGCTATGGCCCGGGAGTGCAGTGGAGGATGGCCCAGGCGCTTGGGCCCTGCACCTGCGGGGGAGACCAGGAGAAGCACCTGGCTCCTGGCTTTGGATCGGCGCAGCGCCGGCCGTATTGGCCATTTGGGGGGTGAACCAACGGCAAAGGAAGACCTTTCTCTCTAACTCTGCCTGTCAAAAAAAAAAAAAAAAAAAAGGAGTACATTGAAATCTACACCTGTAATAGTGGATTTGTCCATTTCTCTTTACGGTTCTTTTAGTTTTTAATTCACATAATTGTATGGTCCATTGTTAAGTGCAGCAACATTAAGGATCATTATGTATTGTTGGAGAAGTGGCCCCCTTTTCACTGTGTCATGCTCCTCTATCCCTGAGTCCATTTGCTCTGAAGTGAGCGCTCTCTGAGTTCATATAGCTATCGAATCGCGATTCCGGCTTTCTTA